ATGAAATACAGTGAATAATATTCAAATCGTTATTTAACGTTTTGTAAAAATCTACAAACATTTAATATGCGGAACCAGCTCGTGTTGTGGGTGCTTAAGTACTCATTATGCCCTCTTGCATTATTTTGAGGTGACTACAAACAAGGAACCCTTGACAACTAATTACCTTCAAAGGAACTATATATCTCCGCTCTCCATACAGAGCGAGCAACGCCTTGGATTTGAGGTAAATACATTTAATATGCAGAATCAGTTCGAGTTTTGGATGCTTAAGTACTCATTATGCACTCTTGTATTATTTTGAGGTGACTACCAACAAGGAACCCTTGACAACTAATTACCTTCAAAGTAACACTCTGCTCTCCATACAGAGCAAACAACATCTTGGATTTGAGGTAAATACATGTAAAAAGAGCAATTGGGCAAATTGGTATCCTGATTTTTCTTACCTGGTCAAAAGGACAGACCTGTAGGCTAAATATGCTGTACTGTGGCATCGATCTGTCCTCCCATCAACAATTTCTTCAATCAAAGTCAGATTAAGAACCACTGATTTTGGAATTTTAACAAATGTGACTACAAGAATTTGGAAAAGGGAACGTCTAATCCTGCCCAAACGTCTGAACTGGGAACGGGCTTGCCCGACCCGGGACCGGGCAGAAATGAATCTGCCCGACTAGCGTCAGTTGGAAGTGGAGCGCAGGGAAGAAGCAAGTCAGGAACTCGACTTTCCCTTGAAAAGAGGAACCCTGTGAAGAACTAGGACCACTAGTGCTCCGCTTCTTAAAGAGAACGCCCGAGGCCTCCTTCAATTCTTTCTGCACAGCAGGGAAAACCCCGCTAAACAGAGTAGGACCATTGAAGGGGGCCGTCAAAAGGAGAGACCGATAAGGTTCGCTCACCTGTATGTACCCAAGAACGGAGAACTGGCGAGTGGACAATAAGGAGCGCTGAAGTGCCGCCACCATCCGTAATGCAGAGTTAAGGCCAGACGTAAGTCTGTCCTGCAAGCCCTGTCTTTCCTCGTCAGACAACCGATCTTTAGCCAGATCGGAAAGCCTTTACAAGGACAATGTGAACAAATCCTCTCCACCTTGTGGTGTTCATTGGCATAGAACACCACCTGGTCGACCAGCTTCCCGGGCCACGAAGACAAGTCCCTCGATTCCAGCCTAGACGGATGAGGAGCAAGCTGCCCGTCGTGGATGGCAAAATCAGAGGGCTTGACCTCTGATAAATCAGCCACCCCGCGTTGCAGCCCGGGAAACCCAGGAGCGCGAGTAGAACAAGCATTCTTCTCTACCACACGGCCCTGAGCGGTCGCCAAAGCAGACAACACTATTTTGCGCTCAGGCATGGTCCTGTCACTGCGCAAAGCAGGTTTAGGAGGTAGCACAGAGCTTAGCAAAGTGGTTGACTCCGAGACCGATGACGCTGAAGGAGGTGGACAGTCCTTCTCGCCAAGGATAAGGGCTACATCCACAGGTAGCGCACGCATGCCCGAAATGTGAGGAAAGGGCTTTGATAGGCAATTTCTGTGCCTAATCCAATTGTGTTTTAAATGCAATAAAATTGATTTGAAATGAAATGAAATGAAAATGCCCGATATAAGGTGGGAAGCCTCAGCTACCACATCATCCTCGGCCTCGTCAGACGACAGGGACTCGCCATCAGAAGCAGCACCATCCGCAGAAGGGGCTTCTGACCGGAGATCATCGACCTCAGAGCACACAGGCGACATATCAAGAACGTCATTCACTGCCATACCCGAACCCTCACAATATATGGGCTCCGAGGCGTCCAAACGGGAAGTCTGGACCGCCTGCAGAGACGCAGGCTCGGCCAAAAGAGCAAAATTGAGACTTATCTCTGATGGACCCGGGCAAAGACCATCCTGAGAACCAGAAACAACCGGGACACCAATTCGGCGTCATGGGTGCCAACCCAGAGCCGGGCTGCCCCTCCCGAGAACCAGACTGAAGCTTGGATGAAGGGACCACCCCCTGCTCACCTACCAGCAACGCCGAAACGCAGCCGGTCGGAGCAGTACATAGTCTACAGGAGGACAAGTCCTTGGACAGCCCGGCAGAAGCCTTACGCTTGCCCTTACCCTTGTCAGAAGACTTGGTCTTCCGAGCCGAGTAAGGGCGTATAAGAACAAACAACGATCTGTCCGTGGGAGGACTCAACATGCAATCATCGCATGGGACCTCCTCCAAACAAGAACGGCATTGTGGACACGAGGAATGGGGGTCTAACACACTATAGAAAAGAGAACACTCATCCTTAATGCTGCGCCGTTGACCAGTATGGGCCATCGTAGTTCCCAAAAACGAAACCCAAACAACTAAAACATAAACTTTATTAATTGCTGAAAGGCAATATACAGTTTACAAATTCGTATACGTGAGTGAATATGACAATTAACACGCACGCAAATAAAAAATAAAGCTAAAACAGTCACGCTACACAAGGGAACGCCGCAACGTGTCTGCACGGACGGTAGGGTAGGCCAAACACAGCCGAAATTTCTATACAATTTCAATGGGTTTATAAATATACCCAATATACCTACAAATCATTATTTGGTAATAACCAATACACAGGTAGTTTCTACAGACAATAGACCCAATATACCTACAAATTATTGTTTGGTTTTAACCAATACAGAGGTAGTGTCTACAGACAATAGACTCAATATAGCTGCACATTATTGTTTGGTTATAACCAATACACAGGTAGGTTCTACAGACAATAGACCATATAAACATACCCATTAGTGTTTTGTAAATACCTATACACAGGTAGGTTGTATAGACAATAGACTCAATATACCTACAAATTATTGTTTGGTTATAACCAATAAACAGGTAGGTTCTACAGACAATAGACCATATAAACTTATCCATTAGTGTTTGGTAAATACCAATACACAGGTAGGTTCTACAGACAATAGACGATATAAACGTACCCATTATTGATTGGTTATAACCAATACACAGGTAGGTTCTACAGACAATAGACCATATAAACTTATCCATTAGTGTTTGGTAAATACCAATACACAGGTAGGTTCTACAGACAATAGACCATAATTATAAACGTACCCATTAGTGTTTGGTAAATACCAATACACAGGTAGGTTCTACAGACAAAAGACCATATAAACGTACCCATTATTGATTTGTTATAACCAATACACAGGTAGGTTCTACAGACAATAGACCATATAAACTTACCCATTAGTGTTTGGTAAATACCAATACACAGGTAGGTTCTACAGTTAATAGACCATATAAACGTACCCATTATTGTTTGGTTATAACCAATACACAGGTAGGTTCTACAGACAATAGACCATATAAACTTACCCATTAGTGTTTGGTAAATACCAATACACAGGTAGGTTCTACAGACAATAGACCATATAAACGTACCCATTAGTGTTTGGTAAATACCTATACACAGGTAGGTTGTACAGACAATAGACTCAATATACCTACAAATTAATGTTTGGTTATAACCAATATAGAGGTAGTTTCTACAGACAATAGACTCAATATAGCTGCACATTATTGTTTGGTTATTAATACACAGGTAGTTTCTACAGACAATAGACTCAATATACCTACAAATTAATGTTTGGTTATAACCAATATAGAGGTAGTTTCTACAGACTATAGACTCAATATAGCTGCACATTATTGTTTGGTTATTAATACACAGGTAGTTTCTACAGACAATAGACTCAATATACCTACAAATTATTGTTTGGTTATAACCAATACACAGGAAGTTTCTATAGACAATAGACTCAATATAGCTGCACACTATTGGTTGTTTATTAATACACAGGTAGATTGTACAGACAATATACCCAATATACCTACAAATCATAATTTGGTAATAACCAATACACAGGTAGGTTTTACAGACAATATACCCAATAAACCTACAAATTATTGTTTGGTTTTAACCAATACAGAGGTAGTTTCTACAGACAATAGACTCAATATAGCTGCACATTATTGTTTGGTTATTAATACACAGGTAGTTTCTACAGACAATAGACTCAATATAGCTGCACATTATTGTTTGGTTATTAATGCACAGGTAGTTTCTACAGACAATAGACTCAATATACGTACAAAATATTGTTTGGTTATAACCAATACACAGGTAGTTTCTACAGACAATAGACTCAATATTCCTACAAAATATTGTTTGGTTATAACCAATACACAGGTAGGTTCTACAGACAATAGCCCATATAAACGTACCCATTAGTGTTTGGTAATAACCAATACACAGGTAGTTTCTACAGATAATAGACTCAATATACCTACAAATTATTGTTTGGTTATAACCAATACACAGCTAGGTTCTACAGACAATAGACCATATAAACGTACCCATTAGTGTTTGGTAATAACCAATACACAGGTAGTTTCTACAGACAATAGACGCAATATACCTACACATTATTGTTTGGTTATAACCAATACACAGGTAGGTTCTACAGACAATAGACCCAATATACCTACAAATCATAATTTGGTAATAACCAATACACAGGTAGGTTTTACAGACAATAGACCCAATATACCTACAAATTATTGTTTGGTTATTAATACACAGGTAGGTTGTACAGACAATAGACTCAATATACCCACAAATTATTGTTTGGTTATAACCAATACACAGGTAGTTTCTACAGACAATAGACTCAATATAGCTGCACATTATTGTTTGGTTATTAATACACAGGTAGTTTCTACAGACAATAGACTCAATATACCTACAAATTATTGTTTGGTTATAACCAATACACAGGTAGGTTCTACAGACAATAGACTATGTAAACATACCCATTAGTGTTTGGTAAATACTTATACACAGGTAGGTTGTACAGACAATAGACTCAATAAACCTACAAATTATTGATTGGTTATAACCAATACACAGGTAGGTTCTACAGACAATAGACCATATACACTTACCCATTAGTGTTTGGTAAATACCTATACACAGGTAGGTTGTACCAGATAGTGGACCTAGTACATCATCGCTTGTATTTGAGTCCATTTCCTGAGTAAGTAAAAATGTATTAGAACCGTTACAGAGTTATGTGTGCAAAACTTTGGGAAAATCTGTCGGAAGTTCATGGTTAAATGTTTACAAACATGATACACAAAGTAGATGCTTTTACATCAATTAGAAATATTTCTGCAAAAAAAGGTTTGATTTACGCTGAAGAGAGTTTCAGAGCTGACGTCATCATTCACTGGCAAATTATGAAACTTTTATTATCAGAAATGGGTTAAGATTGGCTATGTGATGAGATAATTACTGATCTTTTGGATCTATTTCACTTCTTAGTGTGATTAGAAGGTTGATGTTATCGATTATGCTCATACGTGTGTCTTGTCCGTCCCTTGTTATTACCGAGTTCTCATTAACAAGGCGGGTGGCATAGAGGAAGCAGAACACGCCTACCTTTCCGGTACACCTGGTCTTGGACTTGTACTTGTACTTGTACTTGTACTTTGTACTTGTACTTGTACTTTGTACTTGTACTTGTACTTGTACTTTGTACTTGTACTTGTACTTGTACTTGTACTTTCACAAGGATCATCACGTAAACCTTTCCTTTGAATATACGATGCCTAGGGTTCATCGATGTTAAACTCGATTCACGGCTTTGTTGACCTTATTTTGTTTGTTTACAGGAGCATCATAAATGAATGCATATGATTCTAATTTCTATTACTTTTACTTGTTCTCATTTGATATTTATTGATTACTATTTTGATATAATTATATCTGTCGTGTACAAAATATAAAAAAGAGCAAGCGAGTAATTCAGGATACATTGTCTTGCGATTTGCGTTTTGCGTACGCTTTGTGTTAACGGCAACTGGTCCGGTGTAATTCATCAGCTGCTGTTATTTCCTTTCTTTATATACAATGGCTCTAATTTATAGCAAGTGCATTGAAACTAGTTTTTATTTCTTACTATAATCTTGAAACGCGCCTGTATTTCACGGAATTAATTCATGGTAATAACTTATGACACTTGAGAGATATTTAATTATTAGAAATAACGTAGATCACAGTATATATTATCATCAGGACTGGAGTACAGTAGAATAGAGAAAATACACAGATATATTATTATAAGAACTGAAGTACAGTAGAATTGGGACAATAAAAAGAAAAATTATCATCAGGACTGGAGTACAGTAGAATGGGGAATATACACAGATATATTATCATCAGGACTGGAGTACAGTAGAATAGAGACAATACACAGACAAATTATCATCAGGACTGGAATACAGAAGATTGTGGACAATACACCGATATAGTATTACAAGGACTGGAGTACAGTAGAATTGGGACAATAAAAAGAAAAATTATAATCAGGACTGGAGTACAGTAGAATGGGGACAATACACAGATATATTATTATAACGACTGGAGTACAGTAGAATAGAGACATTACACAGATATATTAGTATACGGACTGGAGTACAGTAGATTGTGGACAATGCAAAGATATATTATTATAAGGACTGGAGTACAGTAGAATAGAGACATTACATAGATATATTATTATAAGGACTGAAGTACAGCAGAATAAAGACAATACACAGATATGTTATTATAAGGACTGGAGTACAGTAGAATAGAGACAATACAAAGATAATTATCATCAGGACTGGAGTAGAGTACAATGGGGACAATACACATTTCTATTATTATAAGGACTGGAGTACAGCTGAATGGGGACATTACACAGATATATTATTATAAGGACTGGAGTACTGCAGAATGGGGACAATACACATATATATTATTATAAGGACTGGAGTACAGTAGATTGTGGACAATACACAGATAAATTATTATAACAACTGGAGTACAGTAGAATAGAGACAATACAAAGATAAATATCATCAGGACTGGAGTAGAGTAGAATAGGGACAATACACAGATATATTATTATAACGACTGGAGTACAGTAGAATAGGGACAATACACAGATAAATTCTTATAAGGACTGGAGTACAGTCGAATGGGGACAATACAAAGATATATTATTATAAGGACTGGAGTAGAGTAGAATGGGGACAATACACAGATATATTATTATAAGGACTGGAGTACAGTAGAATAGAGACAATACAAAGATAATTATCATCAGGACTGGAGTAGAGTAGAATGGGGACAATACACAGATATAATATTATAAGGACTGGAGTACAATAGATTGCGGACAATACAAAGATATATTATTATAAGAACTGGAGTACAGTAGATTGTGGACAATACACCGATATATTATTATAAGGACTGGAGTACAGTAGAATGGGGACAATACACAGATATATTATTATAAGGACTGGAGTCCAGTAGATTGTGGACAATACACAGATATATTATTATAGGGACTGGAGTACAGCAGAATGGGGACAAAACACAGATATATTATTATAAGGACTGGAGTACAGTAGATTGTGGACAATACACAGATAAATTATTATAAGGACTGGAGTACAGTAGAATAGAGACATTACACAGATATATTATTATAAGGACTGGAGTACAGTAGAATAGAGACATTACACAGATATATTATTATAAGGACTGGAGTACAGCAGAATAAAGACAATACACAGATATATTATTATAAGGACTGGAGTACAGTAGATTGTGGACAATACACAGATATATTATTATAAGGACTGGAGTACAGTAGAATAGAGACATTACACAGATATATTATTATAAGGACTGGAGTACAGCAGAATAGAGACAATACACAGATATATTATTATAAGGACTGGAGTACAGTAGATTGTGGACAATACACAGATATATTATTATAAGGACTGGAGTACAGTAGAATAGAGACATTACACAGATATATTATTATAAGGACTGGAGTACAGCAGAATAGAGACAATACACAGATATATTATTATAAGGACTGGAGTACAGTAGATTGTGGACAATACACAGATATATTATTATAAGAACTGGAGTACAGTAGAATAGAGACATTACACAGATATATTATTATAAGGCCTGGAGTACAGTAGAATAGAGACAATACAAAGATAATTATCATCAGGACTGGAGTAGAGTAGAATGGGGACAATACACAGATAAAATATTATAAGGACTGGAGTAGAGTAGAATGGGGACAATACACAGATATATTATTATCAGGACTGGAGTACAGCAGAATGGGGACAATACACAGATATATTATTATAAGGACTGGAGTACAGCAGAATGGAGACAATACACAGATATATTATTATAAGGACTGGAGTACAGTAGAATGGGGACAATACACAGATATATTATTATAAGGACTGGAGTACAGTAGAATGGGGACAATACACAGATATATTATTATAAGGACTGGAGTACAGTAGAATGGGGACAATACACAGATATATTATTATAAGGACTGGAGTACAGTAGAATGGGGACAATACACAGATATATTATTATAAGGACTGGAGTACAGTAGAATGGGGACAATACACAGATATATTATTATAAGGACTGGAGTACAGTAGAATGGGGACAATACACAGATATATTATTATAAGGACTGGAGTACAGTAGAATGGGGACAATACACAGATATATTATTATAAGGACTGGAGTACAGTAGAATGGGGACAATACACAGATATATTATTATAAGGACTGGAGTACAGTAGAATGGGGACAATACACAGATATATTATTATAAGGACTGGAGTACAGTAGAATGGGGACAATACACAGATATATTATTATAAGGACTGGAGTACAGTAGAATGGGGACAATACACAGATATATTATTATAAGGACTGGAGTACAGTAGAATGGGGACAATACACAGATATATTATTATAAGGACTGGAGTACAGTAGAATGGGGACAATACACAGATATATTATTATAAGGACTGGAGTACAGTAGAATGGGGACAATACACAGATATATTATTATAAGGACTGGAGTACAGTAGAATGGGGACAATACACAGATATATTATTATAAGGACTGGAGTACAGTAGAATGGGGACAATACACAGATATATTATTATAAGGACTGGAGTACAGTAGAATGGGGACAATACACAGATATATTATTATAAGGACTGGAGTACAGTAGAATGGGGACAATACACAGATATATTATTATAAGGACTGGAGTACAGTAGAATGGGGACAATACACAGATATATTATTATAAGGACTGGAGTACAGTAGAATGGGGACAATACACAGATATATTATTATAAGGACTGGAGTACAGTAGAATGGGGACAATACACAGATATATTATTATAAGGACTGGAGTACAGTAGAATGGGGACAATACACAGATATATTATTATAAGGACTGGAGTACAGTAGAATGGGGACAATACACAGATATATTATTATAAGGACTGGAGTACAGTAGAATGGGGACAATACACAGATATATTATTATAAGGACTGGAGTACAGTAGAATGGGGACAATACACAGATATATTATTATAAGGACTGGAGTACAGTAGAATGGGGACAATACACAGATATATTATTATAAGGACTGGAGTACAGTAGAATGGGGACAATACACAGATATATTATTATAAGGACTGGAGTACAGTAGAATGGGGACAATACACAGATATATTATTATAAGGACTGGAGTACAGTAGAATGGGGACAATACACAGATATATTATTATAAGGACTGGAGTACAGTAGAATGGGGACAATACACAGATATATTATTATAAGGACTGGAGTACAGTAGAATGGGGACAATACACAGATATATTATTATAAGGACTGGAGTACAGTAGAATGGGGACAATACACAGATATATTATTATAAGGACTGGAGTACAGTAGAATGGGGACAATACACAGATATATTATTATAAGGACTGGAGTACAGTAGAATGGGGACAATACACAGATATATTATTATAAGGACTGGAGTACAGTAGAATGGGGACAATACACAGATATATTATTATAAGGACTGGAGTACAGTAGAATGGGGACAATACACAGATATATTATTATAAGGACTGGAGTACAGTAGAATGGGGACAATACACAGATATATTATTATAAGGACTGGAGTACAGTAGAATGGGGACAATACACAGATATATTATTATAAGGACTGGAGTACAGTAGAATGGGGACAATACACAGATATATTATTATAAGGACTGGAGTACAGTAGAATGGGGACAATACACAGATATATTATTATAAGGACTGGAGTACAGCAGAATGGGGACAATACACAGATATATTATTATAAGGACTGGAGTACAGTAGAATGGGGACAATACACAGATATATTATTATAAGGACTGGAGTACAGTAGAATGGGGACAATACACAGATATATTATTATAAGGACTGGAGTACAGTAGAATGGGGACAATACACAGATATATTATTATAAGGACTGGAGTACAGTAGAATGGGGACAATACACAGATATATTATTATAAGGACTGGAGTACAGTAGAATGGGGACAATACACAGATATATTATTATAAGGACTGGAGTACAGTAGAATGGGGACAATACACAGATATATTATTATAAGGACTGGAGTACAGTAGAATGGGGACAATACACAGATATATTATTATAAGGACTGGAGTACAGTAGAATGGGGACAATACACAGATATATTATTATAAGGACTGGAGTACAGTAGAATGGGGACAATACACAGATATATTATTATAAGGACTGGAGTACAGTAGAATGGGGACAATACACAGATATATTATTATAAGGACTGGAGTACAGTAGAATGGGGACAATACACAGATATATTATTATAAGGACTGGAGTACAGTAGAATGGGGACAATACACAGATATATTATTATAAGGACTGGAGTACAGTAGAATGGGGACAATACACAGATATATTATTATAAGGACTGGAGTACAGTAGAATGGGGACAATACACAGATATATTATTATAAGGACTGGAGTACAGTAGAATGGGGACAATACACAGATATATTATTATAAGGACTGGAGTACAGTAGAATGGGGACAATACACAGATATATTATTATAAGGACTGGAGTACAGTAGAATGGGGACAATACACAGATATATTATTATAAGGACTGGAGTACAGTAGAATGGGGACAATACACAGATATATTATTATAAGGACTGGAGTACAGTAGAATGGGGACAATACACAGATATATTATTATAAGGACTGGAGTACAGTAGAATGGGGACAATACACAGATATATTATTATAAGGACTGGAGTACAGTAGAATGGGGACAATACACAGATATATTATTATAAGGACTGGAGTACAGTAGAATGGGGACAATACACAGATATATTATTATAAGGACTGGAGTACAGTAGAATGGGGACAATACACAGATATATTATTATAAGGACTGGAGTACAGTAGAATGGGGACAATACACAGATATATTATTATAAGGACTGGAGTACAGTAGAATGGGGACAATACACAGATATATTATTATAAGGACTGGAGTACAGTAGAATGGGGACAATACACAGATATATTATTATAAGGACTGGAGTACAGTAGAATGGGGACAATACACAGATATATTATTATAAGGACTGGAGTACAGTAGAATGGGGACAATACACAGATATATTATTATAAGGACTGGAGTACAGTAGAATGGGGACAATACACAGATATATTATTATAAGGACTGGAGTACAGCAGAATGGGGACAATACACAGATATATTATTATAAGGACTGGAGTACAGTAGAATGGGGACAATACACAGATATATTATTATAAGGACTGGAGTACAGTAGAATGGGGACAATACACAGATATATTATTATAAGGACTGGAGTACAGTAGAATGGGGACAATACACAGATATATTATTATAAGGACTGGAGTACAGTAGAATGGGGACAATACACAGATATATTATTATAAGGACTGGAGTACAGTAGAATGGGGACAATACACAGATATATTATTATAAGGACTGGAGTACAGTAGAATGGGGACAATACACAGATATATTATTATAAGGACTGGAGTACAGTAGAATGGGGACAATACACAGATATATTATTATAAGGACTGGAGTACAGTAGAATGGGGACAATACACAGATATATTATTATAAGGACTGGAGTACAGTAGAATGGGGACAATACACAGATATATTATTATAAGGACTGGAGTACAGTAGAATGGGGACAATACACAGATATATTATTATAAGGACTGGAGTACAGTAGAATGGGGACAATACACAGATATATTATTATAAGGACTGGAGTACAGTAGAATGGGGACAATACACAGATATATTATTATAAGGACTGGAGTACAGTAGAATGGGGACAATACACAGATATATTATTATAAGGACTGGAGTACAGTAGAATGGGGACAATACACAGATATATTATTATAAGGACTGGAGTACAGTAGAATGGGGACAATACACAGATATATTATTATAAGGACTGGAGTACAGTAGAATGGGGACAATACACAGATATATTATTATAAGGACTGGAGTACAGTAGAATGGGGACAATACACAGATATATTATTATAAGGACTGGAGTACAGTAGAATGGGGACAATACACAGATATATTATTATAAGGACTGGAGTACAGTAGAATGGGGACAATACACAGATATATTATTATAAGGACTGGAGTACAGTAGAATGGGGACAATACACAGATATATTATTATAAGGACTGGAGTACAGTAGAATGGGGACAATACACAGATATATTATTATAAGGACTGGAGTACAGTAGAATGGGGACAATACACAGATATATTATTATAAGGACTGGAGTACAGTAGAATGGGGACAATACACAGATATATTATTATAAGGACTGGAGTACAGTAGAATGGGGACAATACACAGATATATTATTATAAGGACTGGAGTACAGTAGAATGGGGACAATACACAGATATATTATTATAAGGACTGGAGTACAGTAGAATGGGGACAATACACAGATATATTATTATAAGGACTGGAGTACAGTAGAATAGAGACAATACAAAGATAAATTATCATCAGGACTGGAGTACTGTAGAATGGGGACAATACAAAGATAAATTATCATCAGGACAGGAGTACAGTAGAATAGAGACAATGCAAAGATAAATTATCATCAGAACTTGGGTACAGTAGAATGGGGACAATACAAAGATAAATTATTTGAAGGACTGGAGTACAGTAGAATAGAGACAATACACAGATTTATTATTATAACGACTGGATTACAGAAGAATGGGAACAATACGTAGATAAATTATCATCAGCACTGGAGTACAGTAGAATAGAGACAATACACAGATAAATTATTATAAGGACTGGAGTACAGAAGAATAGAGACAATACAAAGATAAATTGTCATCAGGACTGGAGTACATTTGAATATATTATTATAAGGACTGGAGTACAGTAGAATAGAGCTAACATTACAAAGATAAATTATCATCAAGACTGTAGTACAGTAGAATGGGGACAATACACAGATATATTATTATAAGGGCTTGAGTACAGTATAATGGGGACAATACACAGATATATTATTAGAAGGACCGGAGTACAGTAGAATAGAGTCAATACAAAGATTTATTATTATAACGACTGGATTACAGAAGAATGGGGACAATACGTAGATAAATTATCAACAGCACTGGAGTACAGTAGAATAGAGACAATACACAGATTTATTATTATAACGACTGGATTACAGAAGAATGGGGACAATACGTAGATAAATTATCATCAGCACTGGAGTACAGTAGAATAGAGACAATGCACAGATAAATTATTATAAGGACTGGAGTACAGTAGAATGGGGACAATACACAGATATATTATTAGAAGGACTGGAGTACAGTAGAATAGAGACAATACACAGATTTATTATTATAACGACTGGATTACAGAAGAATGGGGACAATACGTAGATAAATTATCAACAGCACTGGAGTACAGTAGAATAGAGACAATACACAGATAAATTATTATAAGGACTGGAGTACAGTAGAATAGAGACAATACAAAGATAAATTGTCATCAGGACTGGAGTACATTTGAGTATAGAAAACAGATATTATATTATAATTAAAACTGCAACACACTATTATTGAGTCAATAAAGATATACAATATTAGATAAAGCTGTGATACATTTCAATTTTCACATTACTGAAATTTTTTGCACATCCTGCTTGACTACTTTTTTTTTTTAACCCATTAACATAAAATATTGATATATATTAATGCTTTGACTTTTCTTAAGGTTTCGTTTAATAATTATAATCAGTCTACTTGTCTTTGACATTACACTTACCTTATCAATGATATCGCTAACATTACAAATCCAATGAATACTTACTCCCTTCATCGAGTCTGTTGTCATACTGGCAGGTTGCATTTAAATTGTCCTCGACACTGTGCGTGTACTGCTGAGCACTATACTATAATGAGCAATGCCATACACTGCAGTAGCTGGTTGTGTTGTGGTATACCTGAATGCCTATATAAACTCAAGCCTACTCCATTATCATGAACGATTAAATGAATCTCTCGTCATTACGTTGTGAAACACTTAGCAGTTCTAAAGCTTGAAATAGAAGATTACAACCTATATGGGCAGCATCAAAACTCTGTCGAGGCGAGTTTACTACCTGATGGGTTATAATCCTTTAGCTACTAATCGATGTCATGAAAATTACATTTCCAACATACAATGTATCGGGTATTATGTTAGACCAAAACAAAAACAAATCGATATATAAATATCATTTATAGGATTACCGTTCTCTTATAAATTACCATTTAATCATTTCGTTCTAATATATTTTACAATTACGACCATAAGTCTTGTTTTTACGATCTCCCCAAGTCAGCTAATGGCGAAGATGATGCTGATGAATTGATTCATCACCAAAGATCCTCTGTCAGAAATAAATCTTGTAATAGGATAGGGTTCAAAATCCTCTGTAATGCTACTAACCACGTGATTAGTGAAGCATTTTTAATTAACTTTCTGTCTGATTCAATCAACTGATAGTTTATATCTTCTGTAAACAATACAGGTTTTGCTTCAACGTGTGTATGTAATAGCTTCCCGTGTAGAACTAACGATGTTTTAATAGTTGGTTCAATACCATTACGTCTTCAAGATGTACTGGACAAATGATTGGCAGTCAGAAAGTGTGTTTAACAAATCATTTCATCAGCAGGTGTGTTCAACAAGCCAGTTCATCAACATGTATGTTCAACAAGCCAGTTCATCAACAGGTGTATTCAACATGCCAGTTCATCAACAGGTGTGTTCAAAAAATCCGTTCATCAACATGTGTGTTCAACAAATCAGTTCATCAACAGGTGTGTTCTTGAAATCAGCAGGTGTGCACAAAAAATCGGTTAATTGGCAGGTGTTTTCATCAAATTATGAGCAATCATCAAGTATGTTCAACGAAGCAGTTTATTTTCAGACATATTTTAATCAAATCAATTCATCAGCATTTGTATTGATTAAATCAGGCTTCACAAACAGTTTGCTCATTAATCTGAATAGAAGAGTTCATTTCCCTACCACTTTCCTTGTGAGTATTAAACTGAGCCCTGTAGATACACAGCTTTAGTGAGCTAACAGGTCCCCAGGTCTTGATCCCTCGCCTCCGTTTCTGATCTTGATTTTGATGATGGTAGTTCCTCCCCAATCAATCACATGACTTCCTAGATTGATGTAACATGTTTTGGAGCTTTTGTTGTATTTAATCTGAGTTTTTTCCTTACTGATCTAGTAACATGTTTTTCCTGAACATTCAGCGTTTTTCATGTGTCCCCAAAGCCTTATTTCGAGTTTGCTTTCCGTTCTCGAATACGCCATGCGTTACTGTACAAATACTGCAACTAATCCTATTAACGCTTACAGAGGACATGTTCGTAGCCTTAAGCGCTTAGTGATTTTATTTTGCCATCTGTGATGCATGCTGTGATAGATATTTTGCTGTGTGTTAATTTATTTGCAATTGGTTTCGTCGTGGCTCCTGTTCTTCCATCCAGATAAATGCAAAGCTATGCGGATTGGTAAAAATGGCAGCAACGAATTCACTTACATTTTAGAAGATGGAAAAAAACTTATATATATATACCGAAACTGAAAAAGATATCGGAGCATTATCGACAATAATACTATCATTCAATGTTCACATTTCTGAAAAATTAAACAAAGACAATTCCATGACAAGAATAATGGAGTATATGGATCTCGCTACATTTACAGCGCTATTCAAAGGTCTGGTGAGACCACAACTAGAGTATGCTTACCAGGTATGGAGTCCACATCTGATCAAACACGTAGAATCGATAGAAAACGTACAAAGGAAAGCTACCAAGCTAATACCAGGAATGGCTCATTTATCTTACCCAGAAAGACTGCAACAACTTTAGCCTATGGAAGAGCCAGGGGAGACAGTATAGACCTTTATAACATCACGACAGGGACATTTCATCTTTCAGTAGTACCATAACCAAGAGGGGACATGAACTGAAATTGTATAAACAAAGAACGCTTCAACATCAGGAATATTCCTTCCTCCAACGAACCACGACTTATGGAACAATCTGCCATCGGAGGTTATAACGTCACATACTGTTCGAGCATTTGATAAAAAAAATAGCAAGAAACTAACACTGATATAACATATGTAAGAACATAGTATACCAACATTGAATTTGAACCACTAACTTGTATGTACCTGAAATATAATACAATGTACAGATACTTGTTGATTTATGAACTTACAAATACAGAGCTGTGACATTATCAGCAATGGACTTACAAAAATAATCTTAAATCATGTTATTACCAATAATTTCAACCAACTTTTATTAATAAAATCTGTGTAAGAAAAGCGCTAATGAAATCACGCCGCTTTGTTTATAACATGATGCTGAATAAACATTTAGCAAATTTTCCTCTTTGGCCAACCCCTGGGAGAGGTCAGGATCGTGACTTCTGATACAATTTGATTAGAATTTCATTATAAGTATTCCAACCAAGTTTGAATTATTTCTTGCTGAAAATGGACAAGATATAGTCAAAAGTGTTATTTCCCTATATAAACCAAGGAGAACAGATGAGCAAAGGGTAATAAAACTAACAATTTATATAATGCACCTAACGGCATGTCCATCCATAAAAGAAACTTGAATCTTGTACATCTGAGTGCAGAGTTCTTTTTAAATATCAGCCATGTCCCCTCGTTTTGGCCCCACCCCTCCAGTCCCTGGGCCAAGGGCGGATCTTATGTTTCCATACCGTCTAATTGCCATCTCATCACAATCATTCCAACCCAGTTTACTTGCCGAGATTAGACAAAATATACCAAAAGTGTTATTTATAGACCTTTCTCTCCATGAAAAGTATTAGTCCGAGTCTGATGAAGATTTTTCTTTTTTTAACCATTTTCCCCATTTCCAGCCCCTGGGGATGGCGCAGGATCTTATTTTCTCATACCATCGAATTGCCATCTGGCATCATAATCATTCCAACCAAGTTTGAATAATTTCCTGCTGAAAATGGACAAAATATACCCAAAAGTGTTATTTCCCTATATGAACTCGAGTCAAATTTACCCCCTCCCCAAGAAAGAATGGATGGCCCAGGGATAATGAAATTGAAAAAAAAGAATACATGTATAAAGCCCCTGATGGAATTTAATTATAGTACATCTGAGTCTGAAAAAGAAGTCTTTTGAAATATTGGTAAATTTTCCAGTTGGGCTCTCGCCCTAGCCCCTAGGGATGGGTCAGAAATCCGAGTTTTACACTGTAATACCCTCCTCTCTCCAAGTTTGAATAATTTCCTGCTGAAAATGGACAAAATATACACGTGCCGTTTAAAACAGCGACAGTCATAAAGCATGCTACAGTGTCGCACTTGCTAATGACTATCTCGCTACCATGACGATACTGATCTGTTTTGCTTTTACGCACAATGAGCTTTAAATACTTGCTTGAAAATTCGACATCAGAACAATGTAAATTACTAAGGTCATTATAACACAGAAATCCTAAGAAACAAAGTAAAATCATAGCTAAACCCCTGACAACCAACACATCATTTGATTCAGAAAACATGTTACATAGATTAATTAAAATGTCACTGGTTACTGGATCTTTTTTACATACTAGCTTTTTAGCCGTACGCTTAGATGCCTTCAAAAGATTTAACACAAAAGCATTTGTGGTCGGATACACAGCTGACGATATAACGGGAAACGATGATCCGCTAGCAAACGGTTAAAGTACAGTGCTATATGGATAGGATTGGCTTGCAACGCCAAAAAAACATGTGGCGTAATAAAACTCTCCCAACGTTTGAAGGCGCCGAAATATTTTAATCACGCTCTGCATTGAAATGGCACTCCCTGTAATAACAACTGACCTTTCGAATTGATCCGTGTCATGAAGTCAGATAAATGAACCAATAAATGCTCGACTCGTTCGGTTGTAACTCTGACCACGCCTACCGACATCGACCACGTGTATCCTAACCACGTTGCATATTGTGATGATTCCCACTGGCATTTCTTGTACGCGATAATGAAGCCGAAATCAACCAAAGACTGTCGTACATAATCACTAGCGGCGTAAGCTCCGTCTTCTGTGCCGTGTCCTCCAATACCATCGTCTAGATACATTACTAGCCCGTGACCCATACCACGACCTCGCGCAGCACCTTGGTAAATATGTACCCCGCAGTCGCGATACCAAAAGGCAAAACATTGAACACAAAATATCGCGTTCCGTTTCCAAAATCATAATGAAAACCTAGAAACTTTCTATGATCGACAAAATAACAGATGAAGGAATTTCTCGAAACGGAATCTTGTAACCATAGCTGACAATAGATAAACCCGCTTCACACGCACCGAATCTTTGCCAATGACCAAAACAACCTCTCAGTCTACCGACAGGAGTAACCTGAGGGACCTTGTCAGCATCTATCTCGGGGCATTCCGGGATATTTACATGCAACTTTGACTTGTTCGTCAACCCCTGAACCAGCTAACCCTTTAATACCACAACATCTTTCTCACTCACCTTAAGACTGCCATTAGCACCCTGTTCATGCATAGAGCATACAAAACCACTTATCTTATTGCCGCCGGAGGCCAAATTTAAAAGCTGTCCCCGTCATCGCAGGGCATTCCAGACGCCAGTGTCTCATTTTCCCACAGGCGAAGCAATTCCCCGGCCTGATGCCCCCTCGTTGAGTGGTTCCTCTGGTGTTTTCCTGTGGCATGGTAGGAGTGTTTCCTGTTGAAGTATTGAACCTGGTTACGCTGGTCTCCATAAGGGAAGTACCGGCCTCTTCCTCTGCTGAACTTTTGTTTGTTATCTTTAACCTTCCTATTAGCTCTCGTTCTGGCCCTGTCCATTTTCCGCTCATCCTTGGAATCTGACGCTATTTGATTAGCAATGAATTCATAGACGGCTTTTCAGCCACACTCGGATGTATCCGCTAATTTGATCAGTTTTTGCCTGTACTCAATAAAACCAATACCTTCGATTCTCTTATTTTTAGCAGCGTGTGG